TACCAGGAAATGTAAGACTTGAGTCATGAGTTTAATCTTCCTGTTTGTATATAAATACCAAAAAAAAACAACCAAATCTTCAGCTTTCTCACTCTCCCACTTCCCCCTTCTGCTGTTGTCCTTATAAAGCCTTATAATTTAAATAAAAGTACGATATTTATTGCAATATTTTGGAGAGGCTTATATAACTGTAGATAGGACATTTTTTTGCTTTTAAAATACCTTGACAAGATTGTGGGGTGAATTATTTTTGTCATAATCCCAAGAATTCAAGTAAAAAACATATTTCTTCACGTTGTCTGCGCTGAAATGAATCATGGGATATGTAGTTTCCGATGTTTATAAGCTGTTGCTGCTATAAAACCATGTATTTAAGCAAAGGAACTTGTGATTCGATCAATTGTGACATTCCACGATATTATTTTGAGACTTTTGACGATACGATATCATGATATTTAGGTTATTGTTACATCCATCAGGGTAGCCGCAAGGTCTTAAAAGTTTTAAAAAGGTCTTAAATTTCATGTACCTAAATTAAGGCCTTAAAAAGTCTTAAATTATCATGTCCAAGTCTTATTTTTTTCACAAAGGTCTAAAATTTCATTAGCCTGTTTTTTTGTGTACTCAGCCGGGCTGCAGTGCAATGTTACATGGAGGGAGGGGTAAAAAACAACAACAACAACGTGAAATAACATGAATGAACGTCTAATTTGGAGTATGTGCAAACAATACTTACATTTTTGGTGCCGGCGGCAATGAGTAAACCATCAGTTTCGTCTGCTGCCCAAGATGCAAAACTCTGGTCAGATCTGCTCACGTCGCTCACTTCGTCAGATCTGTTTACGTCACGTACTTCTCCACCTATAGTCACCACTGAGCCACCTGGCATGCATACCCAATCCAATCCCACACACTTTTGCGTCACCATATGCACGCAGATTTCCTTTATTTTTGTTTTTTTTACCTTTTTATTATTTATTGGTATCCTTGCAATTATTTGATTTTACTAATTTTAATATCTTAAACCCTTAATGTCAGGATTTATATACATGTATATTAAAAAAATGTGTGTTTTTGCCTTCAAGTAGATGGTAAATTAAGCGTACGTTTACTCTGAAACGAATCACTATCACCGTACCAACATATCCAGACGCGTTGTTTCTGTGCTGAGCTGGCGGGAAAAGATCGTACATACATAATACTGTGGATGGGGCTTAAACTGAGATTGTTAATTTGACTATAAAAAGAATAGAAATTTGGGTATGTTGCAAATTTGCGATAACAAGTGCCTGCCAAAGGTGCTTAGAAAGGTTCTGCGCATGTACTAACCGGCACTGGGGGAATGGCTTATATCTTGATCCAAACGGTTTGTTGCCCATTTGTGACAGTCGCCTTTAAGTCGTTAATGAGGACTAGTGAAGACAAGTAGAGCGTTTATTTTATATGTCTATTGTCGAAGTAGTAGTAGTTTATTCGGCCATTTTGCAGCACTACAAAACAAAACAGAGTAAAATCCCATAGATCATGACCGAAAGGGTTTAGGTTGAAGTAAAAGGTACTTATAAAGCCAAAGCCTATTAAACAGTGACAGAATTCCAAGAAAAAACAAACAAAATAAACAAAAAAACTGCGTATTAAGAGCAAGTTTACATTTACAATTTTACTTACGACTTACTGTATATATATGAGTATAATATAAATTCATAATTAAAATTCATTCATTCCAGAGCTCTACATCTTTGAAAACACAACTCTTTTATACTCTTTAAGGCTTCAACACTGTTAGACTTTTTAAAAATCATCACTCAATCATCACTATTTTGTATACTAACCCCTCGAACAGAAATACAATCACTTTTTTCTTCATTCTCATCTTCATTTTTGGATATGCTTGGAAAGTGTTTTGTTTTATGAAATCATTATGTTATGCGATAAAAAATAAAGTGGATTGGATCAGAATTCTTGAGTATAGCCTTATTGATCTGGGTGTTGTTGGTGTAAAGCATGAGGCTGGTGACTACCCAGGTGTTCTTGGCTTCATGTTCTGCCATATTCAACGGTGGCGAGGTCTAATGAGCATCCGACCACCACAAGGGACCGCTGTGTTTACAAGAAACGGGGTATTTTCTGTTTGATCATCGACTTGTGTGTGTTTTTCGATATCCGCTGTAAGTTTAATGGTGAGTTTGTGTAAATGACCTCGGAGACCCATTTCTGCAAACACACGCTTTTCTGTCCTAATTATTCCTCTTCCACCTTAAAACCTCTGGCACGCGCGCGGACGGGTGTTCAGCACAATGTGAGGACGAAACTCTGGATCGTGAATCAAGTAAAGACAATCAGGTCCTCACAAGGGCTGAACGATTCGAAGGAAAATAGAACAGAGTTTAGATTTTACCGAGAAGCATTGTGGTTATATTTGCGATTTATGTTTTAATCTTAGGTTTCGGTTCAAAGTTCACATTTTAAGTTAGGTTAGGTTAGGATAGGTCGCTTTATTCGTACCTGTAGGTAAATTTGCTTTGCGGATTTGAGAGGCTGGTTCCACATTTCACATTTAATTCATCCACAAAACACATAAAAACAATTAGAAAATAAAGTGTTACCTTGCTCCAGTGCAGAATAGTTTGTTCCATAAACTATTAGTTAAATTCATCCATCACGCTTTGGCTTTTGGCTTTGACTTTTAAATCCTTTCAGAAGAACTGACGAAAATGAAATGAAATGAAGTGAAATATGAAGAATTACATTTCAGAACGGATCTAAACTGTAGGGTTAGCAGTTTTTATGAAGCCTAAGACAGGATTTTTTGTTGTTTTGCAGGAAAATTATGGTTCAAAAATTGCAGCCTTTGCGATTTGCGTCCATTCAAACTGCGATTTTGGTTCAACCCACAACATAAATCCTTTATTTTTAGATCAGCATCATGATTTAAAGTTAAATACATGTCATTGCTCTGCCTAGAATGTTCCACAGTGTGACATTAAACAGCTCTACCTTGCATTTATTCAATTACAGGTGGCTTTATAGCTCCAAAAACCTAGAAAAACAGATATTATGAGTGTGAGCGAGGTTGCCTCTCCACAGATCTGACCTGCAACTTGGTCTGGTTTGGTCTCCATGAAGATAGAAAGGTTTATACTCAATGACAAAGCAATAACATCTTTAAGGAGAAAAGCATCCACTAGAAAAGTTACACAATGCACCTTGAACATATGGGCTAAAACTGATTCAGATTAGACAATTCGTGGCTTTGATTTAGATTCCCAGTCTCCAGGAAATGAATCTAAGTCCATATTTGGTCCCCAAGAAGCACGGACACCCAACATGTGTGCATTGAGTGTGTGTGTGTGTATCTTTAAGAGTGGAGAAGGTCCTTTTCTCAGAGCGCGCAGTGTCAGCAGGTGAGCCGCCCTATTGGGAGCAAAGAGAGGAATCGCCAAAGCATGCAAATTGCTTTTCCGAGGGGAGAATCAATTAGGTGCATGGAGGCTGAGCGTAAAGGCTGGGAGGGGTGGACAGGGGCTGGAGGATGCTGCTGCTCCACGCTCATCACGTCCTCCGAGACCTCCCCTCTCTCACCCGCTGCTAAGACGACGCTGTTTTTTTCCCCACTCTATTTTTTAATGGATCAGTTACTAAAATAGCATCACGTTAAATGTTCAATGTTGAAGTTGTAAAGTGATCTTGTGAAAATTCGTCAAAACAAGATGCATATGCTTAATAAAGACACACTATGGCTCGGTGATGTATTAAAATAATGTCATTTTTTTTCCTCAGTATTTTCTATTCAGATCAAAATTGATTCCTCAGCATGAACGAGATCTGTTTTGTTGCTATTTAAAATTAAACTGTTGTCAAATTTCTTCTTCCAATTTCTACTATCTGCTCCTTACCACATGCGTTTACTGATGTCCGGCTGTGGACCTGTTAATTAAAAAAGACCCAGACTGATCATTGATGATTAGAAACGCAAATTTAGATTTTAAAGGTACACTTTTAACTTGTGACATTTGTGGTTATTCAGTCAGGTGCTTTTATTTCTTAAAAATGCCACGAAAAACTAGTCGGGCTGGTGCCACCTAGCGCCTCCGCTCAATTTCATTTCTCTCCAGCGACTAGGTCAGGAATCGGAATACACTAGACCAGGCATCTCCAACCTTTTGCGTCCGGTGAGCTACCGTTACAAAATGAAAATGCGGGAGAGCTACTAATTTTAGCAGTTGCAAGAAATTGATTCGATATAAGAGGGCAAGCCTTAGATGTACAGTTAGATATCTATAAAACATTAAACCATTATCCATTTATTAGTGCACCAAATTCAAAAAAACACATTTTTAGTGGTAATTAATCAAATTTGAGGTATTTAGTACAATACGTATAAATCAGAAATCCTTTGGCGAGCTACTTGTAAGGGGGTGGAGAGCTACTGGCAGCTCCCGAGCTATAAGTTGGAGACCCCTGCACTCGACGGTTTCAAAGAACCCCAGAAGTTGTAGACCACGTGAAGAACTGTGAAGCCATAACGTTAAACTCAAGCGCCTGTCTGGGTTCCTTTTGTGGTACAGCAAAACAGGTAAACAAAGCGGTCGAGATGGATGTAGGCGAAGACATACATTTTGTGTTGGCAACGATTCCCGAGATCGAGGATTTAAAGCCACAACAAAGAATGTAAAGAAAGAATGTTTGGTGAATTTTATCAAGGGGAAAGACTTTACTTATTGCCCGTCTTCCTTCCGACCAAATAGCAGCGATTGTTTTAAATAAAAAAAAGTACCTGACTACTGTTGGGCGAAAAAATCCTAATGCTGCGAGGTCATACGGTTTCCACAAAGTGAAACCGGCTGATGAATCAGGCTCTGACGAAAAACATCTTCACTTAAACATTTAAATGGAAAAAGGTGACATTTTAATAGGGCCAGCATTTCATATTTTAAGTCTGACTACGATATCATTGCATTTGTATTAATCTAGTCCCTCTCCGTGTGTTGCTGTTGCAGGTACATGATGCTCTCCTTGTTGAAAGAGGCTTGATCGTGATCGGCTGACAGCACTGGACTGTCCCCTCTTCCACCCTGAGCTCGACCTTCTACCCCAGCCACCATGCCCCTCTCCCGGACACGGACCTGCTTCTTCACCTGCTGCTTCCTGTCTTGCCTGGTTCTCCCCGCGCCGTGCCTCACGATGGTCCACGGCCCCCAGGCGCTCACCTCCGGGTCCCAGGTGATCACGGCCTCTCTCCAGCAGGACCAGTACGCCTCTTTTCACGCGGAAAACCCGGAATGGACTTTCAACCATCTGGCCGTGGACTTTCGCAACGGTAATGTATATTTAGGTGCCGTGAATCGCATCTACAAACTGTCCCCCAGCTTAGAGGTCCAGGTATTCCACGAAACTGGACCGGACGAAGACAACAGGAAGTGCTACCCGCCTCGCATTGTCCAACCGTGCAGCGAACCATTGACGCTGACCAACAATGTGAATAAAATGCTCCTCATGGACTACAGGGAGAACAGACTGCTGGCTTGCGGCAGCTTGTACCAGGGTATATGCAAACTGCTGCGCTTGGACGACCTTTTTAAACTGGGAGAGCCATTTCACAAGAAGGAACACTACCTCTCGGGGGTCAACGAGAGCGGGTCGGTTTTTGGCGTCATCGTATCCTATGGCAACGCCTCACCAGACATGCTGTTTGTCGCCACGGCGGTAGACGGAAAACCAGAGTATTTCCCTACAATCTCGAGCAGGAAGTTGGCCAGGAACTCCGAAGAGGACGGCATGTTCGCGTACGTTTTCCACGACGAGTTTGTGGCGTCTATGATCAAAATCCCTTCGGACACGTTCACCGTCATTCCCGATTTCGATATTTACTACATCTACGGCTTTGCGAGCGGGAACTTTGTGTACTTTTTGACGCTGCAGCCAGAGATGGGCGGAGGTCCCACTACTGGATCGTCTGCAGCGGGACGAGAGCAGGTCTACACGTCGAAAATCGTGCGTTTGTGCAAAGCTGACACGGCTTTCAACTCCTACGTGGAGGTTCCCATCGGTTGCGTAAGTGGAAATGTGGAATACCGTTTACTGGAAGCGGCCTATCTTTCCAAAGCCGGTTCGATCCTGGCCCGGTCTCTGGACGTGGCACCGGACGACGACGTTCTTTTCGCCGTCTTCTCCAAAGGGCAGAAGAGACGACCGCGCCAGGCTACGCAGGACTCGGCTCTGTGTGTGTTTTCTCTCCGGAAAATCAATGAGAAAATCAAGGAGCGGCTGCAGTCGTGCTACAAAGGAGAGGGAACGCTGGACCTGGCCTGGCTCAAGGTCAAGGACATCCCCTGCAGCAGCGCAGTGAGTACTCTTCGCATTTTTTATATTTTATTTTATAGTTTTAATCGATTATTTGCGGCTGATGTCATCCTCATTTCCTGGGGTTTGTGATGCTGAGACTTCGTTAGACTTTAATCTGAGTTTTATTTTAACAAAAAACGACTAGGAAAACTGACTTAGCTGAAACTAAAACCGGTGAGATGATTTTATTTTATTTTTTTTTACTGTTAAACAGGTCTTTCTCTCAAATAACATTACAGTCACAAGTTAGAATTAGCCAACAGTTTTGCAGTTAGTCACTCTCACCTTCTTGAAAAACAAACTCCCAAACAGGATCATAATAACCGTAACACCTCAAGAAACAAAAAAACAAGCTTTTAAGTGGTTACAAAACCTTAATTCTTTCTGTATTAAGGCTTTAAAAAGTGTAGGTATTATACAATGTCACCATATCATTTGATCATATGCAAGACTTAAAAGAATCCAACTTAAACCAGGACTTCTTGAGTGAAAATACTAAAAAAAAGAAGTGAAAATACTATAAATACATTGAAGTTGATTGAACACATAGAGCTACAAAATGAATTGCAGTCGTGAAATTCTTCATCTCTCCGTGGGGTCGTAACTCCGTAGTATAGATTCCTTCAAACATATTCTGAAATACATATAATTCTTGTGAGAGTTTGCAGTTCAGTTCAGTTTTCTCTCAGGTGTAGAGAGACCTGAGAGAGTGAGCTGAATCCAGATTTTCAAGACAAACTGCAGATCTGATTTATTTAAAATACCTTCGAATACAGGGGCGGCAGTAGCTCGGTTGGTAGAGTTCGTGTTTGTCCACTGATCTGAAGGTTGGCGGTTCGAATCCCACTCTCGACGTAAACATCATTGGTTGAGCGATCAGATCCACTGACCCACAGGTTGGCCGGCGTGATTCCAGCTCCTACAGATGACTGTTGTCGTTTTATCCTTGGGCAAGACACTGTGTCCACTGGCTTTGAGGTGGAAAAGCGCCTGTAGAAAAATTTAAGAGTTTGCAGTTCAGTTCAGTTTTCTCTCAGGTGTAGAGAGACCTGAGAGACTGAGCTGAATCCAGATTTTTAAGACAAATTGTAGATCTGATTACAATCTTTCAACCTTAATACAGTAAAACTACCCAACATTTAAAATACCTTTTAATACAGGAGCGGCAGTAGCTCAGTTGTTAGAGCGTTCATCCACTGATCTGAAGGTTGGTGATTCGAATCCCACTCTCGACATAAACATCATTGGGTTGGCTGGTGTGATTCCAGCTCCCACAGATGAATGCTGTCGTTGTGTCCTTGGGCAAGACACTTAACCCACCTTGCCCCCAGAGTCTGTGTACTCTGGTGTGTGAATGGGTGAGTGGTTCCTTGTTGTAAAGTGCTTTAAGTGCCTTGAAGGTGGAAAAGCGCTATAGAAAAATGTGACCATTTGAGAGTTTGCAGTTCAGTTTTCTCTCAGGTGTAAAGAAACCTGAGAGAGTGAGCTGAATCCAGATTTTCAAGACAAATTGCAGATCTAATTACAATCTTTCAGCGTTAATAAACCTGCCCAGTATTTAAAACACCTTTGAATACAGGGGCAGCAGTAGCTCAGTTGTTAGTGTTCATCCACTCATCTGAAAGTTGGTGGTTCGAATCCCGCTCTCGACATAAACATAACCCTAACCCACCTCGTCCTCAGTGTCTGTGTACACTGGTGTGTGAATGGGTGAGTGGTTCCTTGTTGTAAAGAGCTTTAAGTGCCTTGAAGGTGGAAAAGCGCCTGTAGAAAAATGTGACCATTTAAGAGTTTAAGAAGTTTTCTCTCAGGTGTAAAGACGCGAGAGAGTGAGCTGAATCCAGATTTTCAAGACAAATTGCAGATCTGATTACAATCTTTGAGTGTTAATAAAACTGCCCAATATTTAAAATACCTTTGAATACAGATTACATGGACCTTACACATATCTGATCCGTAATATTATGTATTTTGATAATGTTGAGGTGCTGTGCTGTGGTCCAAGGAAAGTAGGATATCTGACAAAGGCTTTTTTTTTGCCGAAACTTTATTTTAAAAATAAAAAAGAAGCTTTTGGAGGTCGGCCATCTGAGTGCGCTATGCATTGTTTACACTTTTGTTTTGCTGCTCCTCGCATTTGCACCTCTACAAGAATTTTGGTGTGCGTTTTCTGTTTCTTTTGACAGTATCGATTCTCATGCAAAAAAGAAAAAATCAGTACTTAAAATTTCTTCTTCTAAAATTGCAGTTTTATATTACATTTTAAATAGTTTTTTTGAAATGCATTGTTTATATAGCAAATATATACTTTTAAAAAATATATTTAGGTTACAGTGGAGCAAAATAATTATAGCGCCATAGTGAAATTTCAATTTAAATTTTCGCTTTTAATGGATGTTAATACAAAACTCACTGATATACTTGCCATCTTATTACATGGTATTGAATCAAAACAAAAAAAATCCTGGTATCACCCGTCACTAACACTTATAATACTCCCCACCACTGCCCCATACTGCTCAGTGTCAAGATTGTCCCATGTTCGCATAATACAGCATAATGAGCCCCGGAGCTCTGCAGGGCAACTGCACTGACGCCGTGTGGGTCTGTGCCCCGTCCCATTACCGTGAGACGCTAACCATCCACTGCCTCCTTTAATCTGCCCCCCCCCTTTAAAACAAAGCAGCTCAATGCGCAGCCAAATTACCATAATTCTATTCTCTGTAACAACATTACAAATTCAGTGATTCGCTTCATTTAATTTCCCACTATTCCACACAGAAAACACGGGACTAAATTAGAGGCTACGTAAAGACTTCATTATGGCTAAAGATGGCCATGTATAGTATTTTGTTTGTTCGAATGTGGTGGAAGAAAATGGATTCAAAAAGTGTAGTCACCTCAACAGAACCGCCCTAATCCTGATCTATGTAATTTATTCTGCTTTATTATACACATTATATACATTCACACGTTTGTTATTACGGCGTCGTGGTGTCTCGTTATTGTCTCTTTAAAGATAAGTTTAATGCCACAATTTACATTCAAAGCAAAAACAACACGACAGCAGTAAAGTTACACAGTTCACCTTTAACTAGAGTTTGGATTCATTCATTTAAAGGTGCACTGTGTAACTTTTTGGTTGGGGGTTCGTCACCGTCTATGGATATGTCATTGCTCTGTCTGGAAAGTTCCACAGTATGACGTTGAACTTCTCTACTTTACATTTATTCAATTACAGGTGTTTTTATAGCTCAAAAATACTTACGAAAAACAGGCATTCTGACTGTGAGCGGAGTCGCCTCTCCACAGATCTGACCTGTAACTTGGTCTGGTTTGGCCTCCATGAAGATTTATGTGTTGATGTGTTTTTATTGTGATTTTAAAGCACTTTGAATTACTTTGTGTACGAATTGTGCTATACAAATAAACTTTCCTTGCCTAAAAAGAGATACGAAGGTTTATACCATGTTTGCCACGTTTACATGAGAACTTTAATTTAGAATAAAAATAATTAAATTCTGAATAAGAATTAATTCTGCTTTAAAAAGAGCATGTAAACGCTTAGTTTCTAATGAAAATGATTATGATGAAGTAAGTGGGTGGTTTATTCCAATTTTAAAGCCGAATTAATTTATTTCTAGATCATGTAAACGTTTATTCTTCTTAAAAATAATCCTGGTCGTTCAGTGCATGCTCATTGGGTCACCCTTCTGACGCGATCCAGACGATTCGGCTCCATCAGTCCTCCTTTCGGGCTTTCATGCACTGCTCTTTGGATTTGCGAGCGGGATGCGGAAGTGGGCTGAGGTAGAGGTTTGTCTTCTTCCTCCCTTCTCCGACAGTCTTCCCTTCTCCTCCTCAGCCGACAGACGTAAAAGCGAGATGAGAGAATTCTCCAGCTGCTCCTTAATTCTCATTGGATCTACCGCGGAAAAAGTTTAGATCATGTTTGTGTCCATGGCGTAACGACAAACTGAGATGACAGGAAAGCCAGCGGCAGCTGAAGTGTGTGTTTTCATCCGGTCGACGTAAATACGTTCCTGTCTCTGTCCAATCAGAACCCTTCCCGACCCTCAGACATTTAGCAGAGTTAAATTTAACGTGTAATTTAACGCCTTTTCCATGCAAACCTCAATTCATAATTATTATTTTCATGTAAACTCGAATGAGAATATTTTAAAGGGCCCATCTCATGCAAAATCAACTTTTCAGAGCTTTCTACCTTCTAAGAGTGATGTGTGGGCCTTGTTTATGTCACCGAAGTGGTTTTTAGATTGATTCGGCGTATTTCTGCCACCCTCCCACGTGACAACGAACTAAAGCTGCTACAACGATGACGCGGCAGATACACCTATGACGTGTTTGACGTAGCAGAAGGTGCTTCGCATGAACACCTAAACAAAAGCGACAGCATAAGCTCATTGTTCTACACTGCAGTGTGCACGATATAATAAGTTTATCTACTAGCGTTTATTAATACTTTACCAATCAGTAATGTTCAGCTGATGTCGACGTCGGTGCTTGCGCTTCGTTCACCTCCAAGTCCACGTCCGATTATGGGTCCAACACATGCGGCTGAACGAGCTTTATCTCCATGATGGATAAAAGTTTATTCCTGCCACTATCAGGGTGCACACCTGTCTCCCCCTCCCTCCCTGAGATGGCGGAGGAAGGGCGGCTCACTCAGAGCCTACGTCACGTTTGGAGGAGCCTGTGCTTTCTCAGGACGGGCGGGGGGATGAGCAATAGTCGGACTTTCATAGTTCCTGGTCTGTGACTGTCTCCAAGAAATCAGTAAGATTTGATAACTATTGTGTAATGGATGTTCCAAAACCCAAATTGTGCTTGTTTATGTGCAGAAGATACAATGTGAAAAGAGTTATTTTGCATGAGATGGGCCCTTTAATTCCAAACTATTTAATTCAGAACAGTTAATTCTGAATTAAAAAACATCATGTAAACGTGGTAAACATAGCAGACAAAGCAATAACATCTCT